ATATATATATATATATATATATATATATATATATATACAGGAAAATGGATAGCATGTTAAAATACTCTTATGGTATTTTATTTGTTTACGTTTGATTCTTTAAAACTTTTGGTTCTAAGGTTGGTAAGTTTTTAGATTCGTTGCCCACCACGATCACTCCCAAGCACATGTTGGTCGTATTTTGAATAAATATAGTTAATCAAGCTATATTTATCCCCAATACGACTACATAATTGCCTGAGTTTAACCTCGATGTCCAAATCCTCTAAAGACTTTTAATTGTTTCTTTTCATAACGATACTCCTAATACACAGATGTATGGATTTTATTTTTGTTCAGAATATTTGAGTCCCATTGTGTTTATAGTTGCATATCATGTATGTTTAGATATGCTAGTTCACTATAAACAATGCTCTGATACCAATCTGTCACACCCCCGAACCAGGACGACGGAAACATCTGGGGGCGGGTGACTTCATCTTTTAATATCATAACAATTGTATATAATTGAAACATAGCAATCATCATCATCATACATTAAGATAACAACATACATGGTTTACAACATTGTTTGTGTACAAAATACATCCCAAAATAACAAAATGTATGATAAAATCAAAAATACAACAAATATCCAATGTCTATGACTGAGATAAACCTGCTCAGTGCATTCCTGAGAATACAATTCGTTTGAAAAGTGTCAACATATAAAATGTTGGTGAGTTCATAAGCATATTTGTAAGAAAATCTTTGTAATAGGTTGTAAATTCCAGAAAATCCAGTATTTTCTGGAAAGCTAGTTTGAGAGTCTTGTTATAAATCGTGTGTATTTGCTTGTGTTTACTTTGTTTGAAAATTTCGTAGAGAATGTTTCCAGAAAATCCTATATTTTCTGTTATAAGAGATATTGTGGTCTTAAAACCCTAAGACCCAAGTGATATGATTAGTGCAAAATAGGTGGCAAGTAGTTTTGTACTTTGTAAAACATGTAGAGTGTATGTATTGCGTAAATTTTTAGTATAATATTGTTATTCTCTATGTGAGTCGTTACAACCATACTAATATGAGGAGAGCGCCTGTCTTGACGTTCTTCAGGCGTAAGTTTCTAAAGATAATTGTCACCCTAGACTGACCTGTCTAGCTGTAGCGAGCAACTCAAGTGTGGGGGTGTCAACCCCTTATAGATCTATACACAATATTCCGCTCTCCCTCCAGGAGACTCTGGTTATACAGGACTTCCTATGTACACTAGGTAGGTACGAGTGAAGAAGTGTCTCACAAGAGCCTTAACGAAATTTACGCGAATATTGAATTTCATTATTCAACGTTATGAATAATGTTACGAGTGTATATTTTCGACTACAAACCATAGGTGATAAGAACATAATCATTTTTACCGAAAGTGTCAAAATAACACATTTTTACTATTGTTGTCAAAAATAGCCCATTGTACCGAAATTGTCATGAAAGGTCCAATTTTTACTAAATTGTCACTAAAGGCCCAATTAACATAAAATTTGTCATGTAAGGCCCAATTAAAATAGCATTGTCACATAAGGCCCAATTTTACCCAGATAGTTATAAGAGACCCATTTTTACTAAAATGTTCATAAATGGCCCAACATTATCCAAAAGGTCAATAATGGTCCATTATTACTATTAATGTGGAAAATGGCCCAATAATGTCGAAATTGTCGAAAATGACCTGTTTTTACTAAAGTATTCGTTTAAGGCTCATTTTTACAAAAGTGTTCAAAAACGGCCCATGTTTGCTAAATAGTTAATTTTTGGCCTATTTTTATTAAAATGTCCAAAAATGACCCATATTTATATATATATTCAAGAATAACCCAATTTTTACTTTTATTGCCAAAAATTGTCCCTCTTTACTGAAGATGACCAAAAATACTCCATTTTTCATTTTTATTGTCAAATAGAGTCCCTTTTATGTTTTCTTTAGTTTCATGGTGGGTTCTAAAATATTTTCAACATATCAACACACATAACATGCAAAACATACACATGCAAGCAAATATACATAGATCTTTCACAAGATTTGACTTGTATCCTCCCTCAAAAGAAAGAAAACTCGAAAAACAATGGCTATGAAGCTCATCTTGGGGCTTTTCGGTTTTAAAGAGGAAAGTGTAGGAGCTTTTCGGCCTAGAGTGCTTCCTTGAGGAGATTTTTGAAGTTGAGGTTGTTTCTAGGGAAACTAAACATGAAAATGGTGTTGTATAAGGAATACTCTTAGTAGATTTTGTAAATAAAACTTCATAAGTTTGATAGGATCTTACCAAGGATGTAATGTTTGAAGGAAACTTCTTGAGACACACACACCAAACCCACGATTCCTTGGAGGAAGGAGTGAGAGAGCACTTGAAGTTTAGAGAGGAGAGGAGAAGTGAGTGAAGTTTGAAATGAATGGGAGGGTAAGAGAGAGAGAGAGAGAGAGAGAGAGAGAGAGAGGAATTGGCTTATTTTTAGAGGGATGAGGGAAGAGGGATTAAAGTGTTAATACATGGGGGTTAATAATCCCTTGCATAGAAGTATGCAAGGTAAATGCATAGATACATGATGTACTATATGGAGGTGGCACCCCCAAAAGTCAACCCCCCCCCCTTTTTCTCATTTGTTTTTTTTTTATATTCGATCGGCCCTAAGGAGGGAAAATGTTTCTTGGGCTTGAAGGCAATTTCGAGAATACATGGGCCCAATAAGAATTTTTGACCCATTAGGGCCCATATATGGGTTTTCGGCCCAAAGAGATTTAGTGAAAGAGTTTTTGGCCTAAAATTATTCCTAACAGAGATATTTGGCCCATTAAGCTTTGAAATAATTCCTCACAGCCCAATAAGGCCCAATAAGGGTCTTACGGCCCAAAACTATGTTAAATAAGAATTTTTTGGCCCAACTATGGACCAATTATTGATTTAGGCCCAAAAGGGCCAAGTTGAGAGGTTATCGGCCCATTAGGTCCAATAAAAGAGTTTTGGCCCATTAGGAGGTTTGGACTCAGAAAACTTGTGCTAAGGCCTAAAGTTGAGTGGATTTAGCTTACTGGGTTGGATTTTGGGCTTACAAGAGGAATTTTTGACTTGAGTCGACATTTTGGGATGGATAAACTTAGATAACATTGAAGTTAATTTGTATTACTCGTAGTGTCACTTAGTTACATGAAGAAACTATTTGTACATGGACAGAAATTTCTAGCTCTAAAATGCTAGTTGTGACATATGTGGAAGCCCTTTTTTGGAGACATCCAATGGCGGATGGCTTCCTTACCTATTCGTTTCGGTGGTTTGGGTTTGTACTCAACATACGAGGTTTCATCCTATGCATTTGTAGCCTCGAGGGCCTAATATTGGACATTACAAGACCACATCTTATTGATGGCCTCGACCATCATATGTCTCCTGTGGAGCACCAAACTATCCTTCGTTACTGCCTCATGATTCCTTTATTCCCGATTGATGAGATATGCCCAATTTGCCGCAAGGCATGTTTGGCTACTTTTAGGGAACATGAGGTTCATTGTAGAGAGCTCCCTGGTTTCAAGTATCGACATGATTTGGTTAGGGATGTTCTCTTTGAAGCTTGTCGACGTGCTGGTATTTCCGTGAAGAAAGAGAGAGAAATACCAATGAACTTTTTGACGGACCCGCTAGATGGATGATCCACACTCAGGCCGGCTGACATTTTGTTCTTTGGATGGGTATGAGGGAAGCACGCTTGTATGGATCTTACTGGGGTCTCCCCTCTCGATGGTTTGAGGAGCGGGGGTTTCACAGCAGGGCATGCTGCTTTAAAAGCCGCTGCGTGCAAAGTGGCAAAGCACGAGAATGGATGCATAGAAAAGCAACATGTGTTTATACCTTTTGTCTTTGATACCTTTGGTTTTGTCGCACCAGAGACGATGTAGCTCCTCAACAGAGTCCAACATGTCATGCATTCTAATGTTGTATCTCCTAGATTCACATATGTTGTTTTCAAAATAATTAGTTTTGCTATCCAGAAAGGGCTAGCGGCGCAGTTTGTTGCCCGTTTGCCTTCCGTCGATGTGTATTGACTTTTTTTAATCAAAATTGAAGTGGCAAATAATAAAAAGAAAAAAATAGTTTAAAAAAATAATTTACTCATTCCCCAAATCCAAGAACTATGCCATCGGATTCTTCAATCTGGAAAATGAGCCTGTAATGGAGGTTCGTATGTAATTAAATTCTTGAATTACAATTTCGAATCCATCGGGTTTAGATAATACCCATCGTGATCAGATATGACATTTGGTTTATTTTTATTTGATGATGGATTTTGATTTTAGAGAATATCGGTCTTGATTTATAGAGCCCTTTTGAGGATGATATCTTCCGTTAACATGTTGAAGATGATATCCAATGTGAGGTCAGATTTTGTTTTCGCCTGATTTGGGGTCTCCGAAAGTGCTTGATGTGTGATCGGATTATGATGTTGCTCACCGGTGTTGTCTAGAAAAGAGAGGAACAATGGTATTGGGGACTGCTTTCATTTGATTAGTGAGAATGACCAAGTTTTATTGAGGGGTGTACATATGCTTTGGAGTCCTTGTACGTTAGTCCGCTTTACTAATTTTATAATAATAAACAGAAAATGGCTGAATATTAAAAATTAAGGAAAATACAAAAAAAAATTCGATAAGGACAATATAATCTTTTTAAACAAGTCAGGAGCCCAAATACGAAGAAAAAAAAAACCATAAGGATGGTTCATTTAAAAAAAGTTAAAAAGCAACTACACAAATTAACCCAAAGCACATGGACCATTGGTGTAATTTACTCCTGAAAATACTACATTTATGAATTGTGAGCTTGGGACCATAAACAGTCGGTGATTCATAAATGTCGTAAGTATTCTCTAAATTTTCTCACAATTCACAAGTCTCCATGTGGCACGTCATCAACCACACTACTAAAAGCAACTTTATGCATGTCACTGTTAGTATCGTGACGCCCGGCGTATAAACTCTTTTCATCTATCTCTCTTCTTTTCGTAAAAACCCATAGAAGTCTTATCTCCATTTGTGTTTTGACTATTTTCTAAATTCAGAAAAACCAGTAGTCAGTTCAATACAAAAAGAAGGTCAACCATTGGGGTTTTGACTTTTCAGAGAGAACCAACCGATTCATGGTCGTGTGGCGTGTAAGGTGAGTCCTTTTTCACCATTTCTTCTAGATTTTAATGGGTGATGAGTATATTTGTAAATATAATCTGAAATCAGGGTGTTTTTCTTTTCTTTCTTTGTGTACCTTTGTGTGTATGTGTGTGTTAAAGTCACCTGGAAAAATTGAGTACGTTTTATGTAATTTAAGGTGATTAGTTTTGATGTTTATAGCTTTATATAAAATTTTGGAGTTTTAATAGAGATCTGAATACATTTCATGGATGTCAGCTAATTATTGGCTTTTTCTTTGGGGTTTTCTGATTTTTGTTCAATTGGGTATTGATATATTTCCATCTTCAAATTTGAACCTGATTTTCTTTTTCTTTGTATCCCAATTTTGTTTTGTTAATTTAACTAGATTATAGCCCGTGTTAAACGCGGGAAACACATAAAAAAAACATATAATCATTTATAGATATTTTATAATGATTATAAAAAAATATATGGTTATTGATATTATTGAAATGTGTAGAAAATACATTGAAAACGATAAATATATATAATCATTGAAAGATCTTTTTGTAGACATCATTTTTTGTTTTATTAGTTGAACGACTTTCCTCGTCACATATAGTTATGATATTTATATATTTATAAGCATTTTAATTAAACGTTCCTTGCATAATAATGTTACCTAATTTAAACATATATTGACAACCAATATACCGTTTTTTCTATTGCATTAAATATCGACAACTATTTCATTTATTCAAATAAAGTTATGTAATATAATTTATAAAATGTTAAATGTTATATAGATTTAATTTTAGTATATCATCAATGAAGATTCTTTTCTAAATCATGATTGGTTTATTTTAAATTGATTATAAATATAAATGCTAGCTTTTATGTTTGTTCTTATTTATTTGGTGTTCGCAAGAACTTTGCATTAGTTTTGGCGCAACTTTGAATAATTTTAGTATATCATCAATGTAATTTGATATATCTTTCAATTATATGAAATATCAAATAATGAGATTTCATTACTATTGTGATAATTTAGTTTATATATTGTATTTTCACTAATATTAACGGTCTTATTTTTTCTAATAACCGTAACGCTTTTACTAAATGTACTTTTTACACATCTCCTAATATCTTATAATTTTTATCTTACTTTATAATTTTTCATAACTATGTTATTTTCATGATTGACTGCTTTAATAGTGTTTTTTTTTTCAGTCTATTCAATTTTATATTTCATTGTACAACATCATCGTTTGTATGTATTCTGAAATTTCACTTTAAAAATGCTTAATGTTTACACCTTGATATTAATTTTTTTAATAAACTCATGTAATAATTATGGAATATATATCTCATTTTAATTAACATTCACTTCCTTTATTATATCAAATTCCTCATTAAACGGATATACTTTTGGAAAATAATAATTATAATAGGGCAGCATTATCTAAGACGTAAATGTTTGATATACTTTTGGAGAAAAAAATCAGGATCATTAAAAAAAATTATATAAAGAAAATACAAATTTAAATTTGTTGAAATTGTGGATGAAATTACTAGCGAAAATTTATTTTGGAGGGAGTTGTATTTTGTAAGGTATAATAATATTACAAAATTTGAAATATCTATATTTGTTGTGTAAATTAATAAATTTTATTGTTACTATACAAAGATAAAAAATTAGGTTGATATGATATACAAAAACATAATAATTTCAATGATATTTTAAAATCATGCCAAAATTAACTGGATTCTTATGACATAAAAATTAAAAAAAAAATCATAATCATCTCTAATATATAAAAGTAACATTTTCGTAATTAATGTCAGTTCCCAATATAGTTAATTTTTGTTTTGTTAAAGGTACCTAATATCTTTTCATGTTTATTTGAAAAGTTTCAGAAAAGTAGTTAACTGATTTCATGTAATTTGTGACAAAGAAAATCGAAATATATGAATACATACATTTGATATAGGAACAAAAAATAATCGAAAAAAATATAAAAAGCGAAAGAAGGTACTGACCTTCTAGTGTACAAGAGCGAATGTTTATAGCAGAGAATGATGATGGAAGTTATAAGCAATATTAACGATGTTGTAGGAGAAAGTTTGAAGAAAAGAAACGATTGAAAATAAATGTGAGTCGCGGATTCAATGATGAATCGTATATGTATGTGATAATTTGAATATGATTTTTCGGTATTAATGATTTCCAAAAAAAAAGATTTTATATTAATGGTTTACTAATATAAACGGATTTATATTAATGGCTGATATTAAGGCTTTGATTGAAATGATTTGTTAGTAATATGTTTTTAAAATTGACCATATTAAAATCTTCATAACTGAAAATTCAAGATGTAAAATATGGAAAACTTTTATTGAAATTAAATACATTCCATTTCAACGAATGTAAGTTATTGATTGATGATTGGAAAACATTTATTGAAATTAAATACATTCCATATGGGGAAGATGATGTCAGCAATTTGATCTAAGGGTGGAAAAAATAAGATTGAAATACAATCAATGGTCCAGTAATATATAAGATGAAAATTTTGGAAAAATTTTCGGGATGCAAAGGTAATTAGGTTTATTTCTTTCAGGAGTTGAAAATATTAAGATGACTTGGTTCTTTTTTTTCAATTGTGATAATTTAAAAATGCTTTTTCTTGAACTTGGAATAATTTCCTTTTTTGGGTGGTTGTCAAAAATAGAAAACATTTCCTTTCTGTGAAAGATTCCAATAAAAAATATATTTATTTTGTTTTTTTTTTTTTGAATTGAGCTTTCACATTTATATAATTTTACTTCTAAATCTTTACATTTTGCGTGTCATATGACATGAACCCTCAACCATTTAAAAAATAATACATTTCAAACACATCTAGGTCGGTTCTGGTTCAAAGATATAGTAGACTCAAGACGAAAAGAAAAAATAGTCTCTCAAAGTCATAAATATAATAAAAATTAAATCGAAAATAGACATACGGTTATAAAATTCACTATTATTATTCAAAAACAAAAATATGGTCAAAGCATTACGAAAACAACAAATTTAAAGAAAAATATTTCTCATAGCATTTTTAGATAAGTTAGTTTTTTCTATATATAATTATACCATATACTTTATGAATTTTTGGCTCCTTAGAGAAATAGGCTCTGGGCGACTGCTTGGGTTGCCCACCACTAAGGTTGGGCCTGCATTTGATACCTTTAGACCGAATGTCTTTTAGTTAAAACAAAATTATCTATCAAAGTAGTTACATCAATTGATGATATTGATTTTTGATAGCTAGATCCGCTTTCTTTATATTCATATATATTTGATCAATATTCGTTCTTACATTTTTTTAATGGCAATCTATTTTATTCATCAACTACTTCTTAATTTCATCTATGTCCACGACGAGACTTAAACCCTCAACCTCACGGAGGGTGAACAACACCCGATACCATTGGCCTAGAAGCCTTTTGGTCTAATAGTTATTGTTACATGTCTTCTTATTTTATGTATAATTATAGTTTGATGCGGTTTTTCACTTTATCATTTGTTCTTTAGATAACTTAGAACTTAACCCTAACTCAAAGTCAAAAAGGCGGACTTCAATCATGGATAAAATACTTGTATGATATAAGAATAAATAAAGATGTGATTAGTGGTGTAATTTGAGAAATAGAGATAGTGTTTAGAAAATCAATATAGCAAGATGAAAGAAAATGTCGAAAATGGTAAAGAACGTATTGATCACTCTATTATACTAATAAAGTTCATTTGATTGGAGTCGATGGTGTATCCGTCTATCTTTTATTAGGCCATGAACAAGATCATTTTTGCACCAAAGTGAAGTAATATTTAGTGCAAACGTGATTAATCTTCAACCGGTTCAACCATCTTTTGCACCAAATATAATATTCCAAGTAACATTCATTTTCATTATCTTATTGAAAATTTGAACAATACCCCTTCTATTTATAAGCTTTTTACATATTTGTCTTACATTTTTTTGTTACAACAAATTTATAGACTATATAATTAAACAATTATAACTAAATAACTTATACGAATAAAAATAATTCATAACATACTATTACAAGTAACAAATTTTACACCAAAAGGCTTATAACCCATGAGTATCATAAAATGGAAAGAAAAATAAAATTGTTCCTCCCCTAAAGAATTAGAGTGTTCCAGTCTCGTTGGAAACCATTGGTATAGTTTAGGAGTTGGTCAAAAAAAAACAAAATAACAAGTATTATAGTTAAAATATAACTATAAAATTAAATTAACCACAAATGCGTAAACTCAAACTGGAAAAACGAAATTGTACACATGAAAGTTTAACACCAAAATAGTACAACAATTTGTGTTGGGTTGGAGTAATTTTTTGCAAAAAATGGGATTTGTTGTTAGGTTGGAGCATAACAAAATAAAAAGCTCATTAATTGCACTATAATAGCAAAATCAAATACATGAGGAATCATTTTTGAAACACCCCAAGCACAAAGTTATAGATTAGCCCAATAACCTCTAGATCAACTTAAAACCATGGTGGAAAAGTAATAGTGGCTCAGCATTATCATTGAAACTATAATTTCTTAACATAAACGAACCAACTCTAAGTTGTTGTGTATATGAGGTTTTGATTACAATTTACAATTTTACATATTGAATCTCAACTTGAATTCACTTCCAATTTCAGGATTTCTCATTGGCTTTAATATTTGGCTAATGACATATATGAACGATACCACAACAAATTTAGGTCTCGCAGTCGATATTACTAACCAGTGGCAAAATAGTAATATGGCTGCAGGTGCAGGTGCAAATGCAAATTCAAGGGTAGATATGATGCCTTTTGTGGGGTCCGATACATTAGCCGAGCTAGTTTGGTCTCCACGAATAGGTTTAAGCATCAAATTTGTCGAGAAGAAACCGTGTTTTATGTGGGACAATGGCCCAAGTGATATTAGTGGTGAATTCTTTTAACTTTTAAGTAATTTTAAAAATAATTAGCTATCTATTATACTTGAATATTTGTTGTAAACAAACCATCGTTTTTGTAATGAAATCCAACCTTAACAAACAAGGAAAGGGGTAAGAAAAACTTTTTTTTCTTCGAAATAACCCAATTTGTAACCACTCATTTTTACAAAAAATATTATTTTTTGGCCAAAACGTGTTTTATAACATTGTATTTTAACTTATTGTTATTACAAGAATGTATTTTTATTTATTGATATTATCTTTTAAACTATCTATGGAATTATAGCAATGGTAAGTGGTAACCTCCTATCTTTTAAACTGGTTACCCTATTGCTATAGTTACTACATTTTCACATTACAATTTTCTAATAAGAAATATTTTGAAACTTCAATGTTGTAATCAGAAGAATTGAAAATACAATGCTCTAATGAAACTTTTAGAAAGAACATTTCTATATCTTGCATTTAGCCCATAGTGAAATCACTTGAAACTTTTTTTATGACGACTATGCTAAAGTTTATGAAAAATAATATATATACAAAGACAATTAATGTAACTTTTTTACCAAAGCATAAAATAAAAACTCGGAAACACATTTGACCTCAAGAGGTAAAATGTGAACAGGGTTGACCTTTTTGTTTTCTCAACTTGAATATGGTTTCTTGTAGGTCCACAACACCAAAGAGCATCCGAACAATTATCTAAACATGTATCTGAAGAGGAAATGGCTAGCTGTGTTGATGGGTCAGAATCTGATATTAAATCACCTTTGAAAATCGAACCTTTGACTCAATGTGAGCCTCAAGAACATGTTGAAAAGGGTAATGTTAAAATTGAAAAAGATGGTTGCATTAACGACCCTTCTCTTGAAAATACCCAAGATGAGAAACACAAGGTTGATAACCATGGAAGCATGGAAAGTTGCAAAAGTGGTAATTTGTTGACTAAAAGGAAGAGGAGAGTGAGCTTTGAACAACAATTGGTTCTTGGAACTAGTGTAATAAAGAAGCAACGCCATGTTGGAAATGATGTTTCTTTCATGAACTGGATATCAAATATGTTGAAAGGTTTAAAATCCCAAGAGAATCAAAGTGTTTGTGACAAAACCCAGAGTTTAGAGAGCCGAAAAATGGGATTTCAAAGTGTTTTTCGCTCTCTCCCTTTACAAGATGTGAAGGCACATGAACCAATAACACAAGTTGACAAATGTAGTCATGAATCCCTCGATTTTCTAAATATAAAAAAGAAAGAGGTCAAGGGTGTTGTGAAACATATAAGTTTGTATGAAAGAGTAACTAAAGAAGCACCAAAAGATATCTTTGACACTATAAGGAGGCTTAGGTTATTACGTACAGATATCCTCAAGTAAGAAGATCTTCAATTTTTTTTTATCTATTTGCTTGATATTTTTGAAGTGGATTTACATGAATATTGTGTTATGTAATGCCAGGTGGACGAATTCTGGATTGTCGTTTGCACATTTAGATGGGTATTTTCTACGTTTACGGGTTGCCAATTGGGCAGAGGGAGCAGGGGGATCAAGGTACTATGTTGCATGCATAACAGGTATTCATTTCATATTATTTTTAAAAATCGTACTTTCATTTCTTTGTATATTATGTCATGCTGTTTTCAATCTATTTCTAAATTGGACTTCATGCTTTAAATAATCAAAAAAATCTACACAATTATATCCATAAATTTTGATTCCTGTTGTAATCGTTCGTATTTTAAAAATACAATGTTGTAATCGGAAGAAATGAAAGTCACATGCTACAATAAAAGTAAAAAAAAATTATGTTGCTATTCCTCGCATTTGATACTAATTATTTAAATAGAATAATATGTCCAAGAACAATAATCATATAATATGCTCATGTAACGTTCTTGGAAGGCATACTTGTACGAGAATTTGGTTTAATGCCACTCTAGGAAGCCATTAATGAGTGTAAAGAATCAAGATTGCCCATGACAATTCTCAAGGGTCCTATTTGTAATTATCCATATGTGGTGGATTAAACTATAATATGCCCATGTCAAAGTATCACTCCCTCCATTCTCCATGACTTGATACATTGTCTAATTAATAGAAGCTTTAACTAATCATTTTATAGCTAAATACCTGTTAGTAAGACGAAAACAAAAAGTATTGTGAACAACAAATCGTATGACATTGATACATCTTCATGATGTTGTAGGGTTACAAGGAGAAAACCCATGGAGAGGTCTGAAGCAACCTATTCCTGTTAAAGTTGGAGGTGTTGAATGCTTGGTAGAAAGTCAATATGTCTCTAATTGCGATTTTATGGAGGTAAGCTATCGTTTTTCATTGTTGAGATAGTAAGAAAAACGAGGCTTTCCTCGTTTTTATTTTTTCCTTTTATTTTCCAAGTTTATCGTTATTTTCTTAAAATATCTTTTAAACATCAAGTATCAGATAACAATCTATTTGCACACTTAAGACTAAATTACACGAATGGTCCCTATGGTTTGGTGTAATTTGCGTGATTGGTCCCCAACTTATTTTTTTTAACTCGGAAGGTCCCTATTGTTTGTTTTTGTTACGCGTTTGGTCTCTGCTGTTTGTTTTTTACGTGCTTGGTCCTTAATTAGCTAAAAAGACTATTATTTAAATATGAAAAAATGTTAGGGTAGGTGAGATAATGTGAGGGGGTGGGGTTGGGGTGTGTTTATTTAAATAAATTAAAAAAAATCAAGGGTAAAATAGTCTTTTTAGGTAAGACAGGGACCAAGCGCGTAACAAAAACAAACAATAGGGACCTTCCGAGTTAAAAAAATAAGTTAGGGACCAAACACGCAAATTACCCTAAACCATAGGGACCATTCGTGTAATTTACTCCACACTTAATAAAAGGAAGAGTAAATTGAGTGAGAATCCATTAATAAGATCTCAAGTTCAAACATGGATGGCATTTACCTTCTTTTTTTAATTCTTTATGTCTTTTATTAATAATAGGATGAACTTATAACATGGCGGCAAAAAGCGTCGACAAATAAAGGGACTCCATTTGTTAAAGATTTGAACTCAAAGTTACCTGAGAGGAAAACATTGGGTTTGTAGTTCATGGAAACAACACAAATGAACGTATGTAGAATTTTCTTACACATTTTTTTTTGCACTAGATTATTGTGTATATGTTTACATGTTACACGTTAACACAACAACTATTACTATGCCCAATTCCTATTAGGTCGTGTGGTAAGGGGAGAAGTTTGATGTACACATCCATATATACTTCCACCTGAGGGGTAGAGAACTCCTTCCATAGGTGACTTTCAACAACAAAGTGTGCGCCATACATGGGTTGGCGTGCTTTTACGTGCGACTTAAAGGGGATTTTGGTTGTCACAGCAATAAAGTGTTTTTTTTTTGTTTCCTTGCTTATCTAAGAGAAAATTACATTGTAGTAGATAATTGCAGTTTAATGGTTTTGGATTGTAGTTCCTGAAAGATATCCGTATGAAAATATATTTGAATTGAACAAAAACTCTTTTTGTTATATTATATGGATTGGTTTTAAGCTCAAACTCCATCAGGAAGAAAATAACCAATCGATTCAACCACTTCAACAAACAATCAAGTTTGATGAATTTTTCAAGATATCATAAGTTACTGAAGTTTAAAACAAAACGACAGTATTTACGGTTGTTAGTTAATTTTTGAGTAAATTACACGAATGGTCCCTATGGTTTGGTGTAATTTGCGTGATTGGTTCCTAACTTATTTTTTTAACTCGGAAGGTCCCTGTTGTTTGTTTTTGTTACGCGTTTGGTCCCTGCTGTTTGTTTTTTTTACGTGTTTGGTCCTTAATTAGCTAAAAAGACTATTATTTAAATATGAAAAAATGTTAGGGTAGGTGAGATAATGTGAGGGGGTGGGGTTGGGGTGTGTTTATTTAAATAAATTAAAAAAAATCAAGGGTAAAATAGTCTTTTTAGGTAAGACAGGGACCAAGCGCATAACAAAAACAAACAATAGGGACCTTCCGAGTTAAAAAAATAAGTTAGGGACCAAACACGCAAATTACCCTAAACCATAGGGACCATTCGTGTAATTTACTCCACACTTAATAAAAAGAAGAGTAAATTGAGTGAGAATCCATTAATAAGATCTCAAGTTCAAACATGGATGGCATTTGCCATCTTTTTTTAATTCTTTATGTCTTTTATTAATTATAGGATGAACTTTTAACATGGTGGCAAAAAGCGTCGACAAATAAAGGGACTCCATTTGTTAAAGATTTGAACTCAAAGTTAGCTGAGAGGAAAACATTGGGTTTGTAGTTCATGAAAACAACGCAAATGAACGTGTGTAGAATTTTCTTACACATTTTGTTTTTTTGCACTAGATTATTGTGTATATGGTTACATGTTACACGTTAACACAACAACTATTACTATGCCCAATTCCCATTAGGTCGTGGGGTAAGGGGAGATGTTTGATGTACACATCCATATATACTTCCACCTGAGGGGTAGAGAACTCCTTCCATAGGTGACTTTCAACAACAAAGTGTGCGCCATACATGGGTTGGCGTGCTTTTACGTGCGACTTAAAGGGGATTTTGGTTGTCACAGCAATAAAGTGTCTTTTTTTTTGTTTCCTTGATTATCTAAGAGAAAATTACATTGTAGTAGATAATTGCAGTTTAATGGTTTTGGATTGTAGTTCCTGAAAGATATCCGTATGAAAATATATTTGAATTGAACAAAAACTCTTTTTGTTATATTATATGGTTTGGTTTTAAGCTTAAACTCCATTAGGAAGAAAATAACCAATCGATTCAACCACTTCAACAAACAATCAAGTTTGATGAATTTTTCAAGATATCATAAGTTACTGAAGTTTAAAACAAAACGACAGTATTTACGGTTGTTAGTTAAGTTTTGAGTAAATTACACGAATGGTCCCTATGGTTTGGTGTAATTTGCGTGATTGGTCCCTAACTTATTTTTTTAACTCAGAGGGTCCCTACAGTTTGTTTTTGTTATACGCTTGGTCCTGTCTTACCTAAAAAAACTATTTTGCCCTTGATTTTTTAAAATATTTAAATAAACACATCTCAACCCCAACCCCCTCACCTTACCTTACCTATCTTGCAATTTTTTCCTATTTAATTAATAATGTTTTTAGGTAAGACATGGACCAATCTCATAACAAAAACAAATATTAGGGACCAAGCACATAACGAAACAAATAGTAGGGACTTTCCAAGTTAAAAAAAATAAGTTAGGGACCAAGAACGCAAATTACCCCAAACCATAGGGGCCATTCGTGTAATTTGCTCTTAATTTTGATAATGATGGTTAAAGATTTTGATAAAATTTATGAACACACCAGAAATAAGAAGAAGACACTTTAGTTAAATATCTTCAGATACTTTTACATTAACAAACACTCTAATCCTATACAAATCAAACTGACCTAAGAAAGAACACTCGTATATTTTTCTGGTTGGGACAATGTTTCCCCCGCATTAAGGATGCAACAGTTGTGCATCTAAGGTAACTTGGATAAAATTTTAAGTTTAGTTGTGATTGTTATTTAATTAACTAACTTTTTTGTATTTGTAGAATAAATTTGATTTGGATAAGGTTAACATAGATCCAGAGTGTGCTCAATTGTTGCGGAGCATTGATTCGAGTCTTGCAAAAGTTTACAGAGGCAGAAAAAGTAAAGCCCATTCTTATTTTAAGGAAATCGGGGGGCCTGCAGATATCCCAGCCGTAATAAACAACCCCCCAAGGGTATGTCACATGAAAATTGGGCGAAGGCAATCGAACATTTTCAAACGTCAGAGTTTTTAAGGCGTTTGGCGTCAAACACAAAAGTCCGTGCAAAACAAGTAGTTGTAAAGAGAGGGGGTCGAGCTCGTACAACAATGCATGTTTCAAAGAAGTAAGTTATGATATATTTAAATGTTTATTTAAAGTATAAGTAATCTAATTTTTAATGTTAAATAGGATATCAGTCGAATTGAAGCTTTTCGTAAGGCTAATTCCAATCACCAAGGGGTATTGTGTAGTCCTGCAGTCGAGCAACAATACGTAAGTGGTTAATTTGTATTTTCATATAAGTGTTTATATCGTCAAGGGTATTTAGTTATCTGATTTTTATGATTTTTATTATTTTTTAAAAATACAGAATGCTTTACTCCAGGAGATCAACCAACGAACCCAAGCTTCTTCCGAAGCAAGCGGTCTAACACGCACTAACGTAAAAAATTGTTTTGAAAGAATATTGGATATTCGACGCAGACATATCAGAGGCATTGGGCGTAAACCTCCTACCGTTGTGTCTATGTACGATCAGGAACAACCAGTGACACAAGAACCACCACAATCACAGGTAATTGTTAGTTTAAGTAAATGCTATAATGGAAAGTAGAATGATATAATGATATGTTGGTTATGGTTTGATATGTTTATATTTTGTAGTATGGTAATTCTTGGAAAGTAAATGCTATATGGAAAGTAGAATGCTATAATGATATGATGGTTATGGTTTGACATGTTGATATTTTATAGTTTGGTAATTTTTGGAAAGTACAATGCTTTAATGGAAAGTAGAATGCAATAATGATATGTTGGTTATGATTTGATATGTTGATATTCTGTAGTTTCGTAATTTTTGGAAAGTAAATGCTAGAATGGAAAGTAAAATGCTATAATGATATGTTGTGTGATGTATGTTTAAGTGTATCTGGAAAGTAGAATGCTATAATGATATGTTGATTATAGTTATATATGTTGGAATTTTTTATTTTGGTAATTTTTGGAAAGTATAATGCTATTATGATATGTTGGCAATATATTTTGTTTTCTTTGTAGTTGGAAATGATGCAAACGATACTAAAGGACCCGACATGTTCTGCAGCGTTGGAAGAGTGGTTTCGCTCATTGCCGCCACCAAATAATAATGAAGGAAATGATGAAGACCAGTAGCTACTTTAGGATTTTATGAAATATTTTGTAATTTTGGAAGAATACTTTAGGTTGTGGTATGGATTAATATTTTGGATTGTGGATTAATATTAATATTTTGGATTGGTTGTGTATGGATTAATATTTCTATAAAACTTTATCAGATTTTATAAATGTTATATTATTTTTTATAAATTTAATGTTAAATAAGAAAACCAATTTTTTTTTTGTGGCGACATCTTTTGCAGCGACAGTGCCCTATTACCAGGGACCGTGTATTTGCGGCGACAGAAAGGCTTTAGCGGCGATAAGCCAATAGCAGCGACGATACACTATTAGCGGCGACAAGATGCACATTAGTGACGAAGCATTACGGGCGACTCATTACCAGCGACATGTCGCCGCTAAAGGTATTAGCGGCACAACCCATACCTTTAGCGACGACACACGTCGCTGCTATTGCCCACTATTCTTGTGGTGTATGCTAATCTCTCAGTGCAATAAGCTCTCTCTATATATAGTAGGTGATATAGTAAAGAAAGAAACTGTTTTGAACTCGACGTGGGACAAATCTATCCTAATAAATAAAGATCTTTTTTGTCACATGTCATACTCTCATTTATTTTGCCACATGTCATTTTGTGGTTATTTTAAATTAATTTTTTTTGACATGTCATTTTATGGTTTTCCCATTTTATTAAATTTCACATAATATTTAAATATAATAATTGCAACAAATATATAAATAAATATATATCAATTTCATTGATCGACTTTCCTTCTAATTTCTAAATTAAAGTCTTATTAGTTTTCTTTATTTATTTATTTAAATTTAAAAAAAAACCACTTTAATTTTAATAATTCAATATTTTTTTCTTATATAATCAAACTTGTAATATTTAGAATTTTATATTTAACTTTTTTTTTTTCAAATTAACTCATGTAGATGGATTTTACATCTATACATAAGACACTTTCTTTCTTGAGCTCCATATCTTTTAATGAAACTCATTGCTCAATTGTTCTTCTTGAAATAAATCATGTTCGGCCACATATAATCTTTGATACAACCCATGAACTTTTAACTTATTCCACTTAAGTCCCTCAACAAATATGCATTAACCATAATAACTCAGAAGCATCCATTCATGTGTTTTAGTAATTAGGATTGCAGGAAATATACAACCTTTAACGTCTCAAATTTTTTAAAATATTTTTGTAAGGTAATCGTACCAAGTTAAAATGAGCATCAATAAATATTTCATTGTTCAAATTGAATAAATCCACACTATTAATTAATAGTTTAAGACATTATTTACGGTTGTTAGTTCTTTTGATAATGTTGGTTAAAGTTTTAAATTTATATTTCTAGTTTTCGTATTTTAAAGAGATTGTGCCGTAAGGTTAATCTTAATTTTAAAATTGATTGTGGGTTTTTTCAATTTTAGGAATATTTATTAATTAGTAATGTTAGTTCACTAACACCATGTTAATGGAAAACCGCTTGAAGGAACTTATTAGAGACAAAATTGTTTGCTT